CGGTGCCACCCTTGGGCAGGGAAAAGTGTTTTCTCCTTCCCTCTGCCTTTCTCTGACAGAAGTGACCTGCAACCCATCTAAATACCCTCACTTTTCTAGTGGTCCTTGAGATGCCAGCACAGTAGCCCTCTGTTTGGCCTTGGGTTTTTACCCTGATGGGCACTTCCATTGCAGGTTCATATTGTGCTGGAGGTCACTTCACCCCCCCAGGAGGGGAGGGAGGGCTCAGAGTGAGGGCTGGCCAGCAGCTGCCCACTCTGCCGGCCCAGGATCCAGCCACTGCACCTGGGAACACCTGGGTGGGAAGTCTCTAGCAGCCGGGCAGTCCCTCCCACAGCCCTGGGTCGGGGGTGGTGACAGCAGGCAGAGCGCAGGGAGTGACGGGGGCAGCATCGCTGGCCGGCGGTACCTGTGACACTCATCGCTTTTATGGGCTGCTGTTTCACAGCACCGAGCTGCGGGCAGGCAGGGTTAGCGTTGAGGAGTGACTCACAGTGTGAAGCAGAAAACAGCTCACTCCCTCTCCGTGCCTGGGTTGGAGAATGGGATAATAAGTGGTGTGGAAAGTGCTGTGAGGCTTCATCCCTGCGTTCCCCTGACACTTGTCGGGGCTCCTAGAGGCAGGACTGGAATTCTTGACTGCTTGAACAATTGCTCTTAAGTATTTCATCATAAAGGAGGGAAATTAAAAATATGATGAGTTGGAGCCCAGGCATTGCTCAGCCAAGGGCTTGGTGACCTGCCAGGCCCCTGGGGGATGCTTTTAATTGGGATAAATGCAAGTTGCGTCAATGGTATAAATTTCAGGCTGCTCTTGCTGCCAGTACAGAAGTGTGGGTGCAGTTGGCAGCTCCACACCATGCCCCATCCCTGGCTGAGCACCTAGTTGGGCTGTGTTGGGGCTGGCAGAGCTGTTGCCCATGCCCAACTCCCAGCCTGGGTGTCTGCAGGAGCCATCCAGCTGGAGGGCAAGCTCCTTCGTTCAAAAGCCTTTCCCTTCACCCTTTGCCCCACTAGTTCTTTTTTTGGAGAGCCTGTTTTCTAAAAACAGCTTGAAAATATGTAACATACCAGAGCTGAGTGGTCACACATAGGTCTTTCGTCCCTGCTAGTTAGGCCAGTCCCTATGAGCTCATAGAGTGTGTGGTTTCCCAAAGCAGCTGTTCATAGTTGGAAGGAAAAGCACTGAACAGCTGCAGAGACCAGGGCTGCTTCTGTGTGGGAGCTGCCATCAGGGAAGACAAGGCCTCCAAGGGTCTCAGGAGGTTTTATTCCCAGCTCTGCCACTGAGAAGCCTGATAGCCCTGGTAAAGCTTCCAGCCCAGCAAAATGAGGGAAACTCTTGTGCATGGGGTCTGGGAGGTGTCATGCTTTTGGCTTGCACAGGGCTGGGTGAGTGATGGACAAAGCATCTCTGCTGTTAGCATGGGCACGTCCTGGTGAGCTGTCCTGCCTGCCAAGGGAAGAGCACCAACTGCCTTTTAAAAGTTACCTAAGACTTCCCCCTGGACTGCAAGTGGGACAGATAGGAGGGGACATGGGAGCAGCAGGCTCAGCGACAGAACATTTGGCTCCTTCATTGAGTCCATATATCCCATCACTTTGAAGGAGATGGGAAAAGTGCCCTGTTGCTCAGCTGTAGGCCCAGGTGGTCTTCACTACCTCCTACCCCGATGCAAGAGCAGCCAGGATGCAGGAGTCACATCTCCCCCCTAACATCCTAACCAATTCTTGAGGCCAGCCCCTCACACACACACCAGCTGCCTGCTGCAGCCGAAGGGCTACCCCTGCCACAGCTCAGCTTGTGAGAAAACAAAATGCTCCTTGCCTTGGCAACACCTGTCCTCCCACATACTGCCCCACAAAGTGCAGGGCCACGGGCCAGTAGGTGCCCTGACCCAACCCCACACACCCTTCACTGGGGCTGGAGCGCAGGGTGATGGGGTGGTGGTGGCTGCAGGCAGTGCTCTGGCAGACAGCTGGTAAAAGCCACAGGTCTGCCTGCGGGCCGGGCTGGAACCCAGGCTGGCATCCTCTCCTGCCCCATGGTGGGACCCCGTTGTCCCTGGAGCTGCCTGCCACATCTCCTCTGCAGGGGAACCCCATACTGCTGCACCTCGGGTGGGCTCCTCCACGCCTGGTGGGGACCCGGGCACAGCAGCAGGGGGTCCCGGGGCATGAGGAGTGGTGAGCACGGCGGAGATGCCTGTCCAGGGGACCCCGGGATGAAAGGTCAGGCCCGAGGGGGAGTCCTGCCCCCTGTGCCCGTCGGGGCGAGTCCGGAGCGCGGCCAGTGCGGCTCGCTCAGGGTTACGGCGCGGCTGGGCTGAGGGAGGCTGGGCTGGGCTGAGGGA